CTTCATTACGCTAATCGATCCTACGTAGAATCTAGAGTTTGACTACCATGGTATTATTAGGTATTCTGTAGCTTAGTCACATACTCATCCACTCTTCATCATCCTCACCATCATCTTTGAGGTCTTCACTCTTTGACTCCAAAACAATTAAGATTGACAACATTGGTTTTCTTCTTGCAACAATTGGTCCATTGCCTTCTAGAGTAGTAGCCATTGCCTTCTAGAGTAGTAGCCTAATGATTTAAAGTGAAATCAACCATCAACGTAGCATTAGATGATCTTTCCTTCATTGCCACCTACACTACATTATGGTTCGAGCTTAGATTTTGTTCACAGTTGTGAATCACTTCACCCATTTTAAGTGATGAGGGATTTTTAAGGAAGAAACCTCATCGCTTGTCGCCACAATCATAGTTCATCAGAAGTGCCATTGTTAGTTGAGGTAATGGCCATGTCTGAATGGACTTCGGGGACTACAGTGGTGTTGGAATGCATGAGTTCAACCCTTTCTGAGTGTTGACTCACAGGTTTTGATAATTGACAAACACAATTTATTCAAGTCAAGATCAAAGTGCTACAACGACAAACACGGAGACTTGAAGTGCCATTCCTTGAAGTATTCAAGGAGGTGCACATGATTTTATTGAAGTCCGATACGCATTCGGAGCGCCTAACGGAGGACTCGGAGGAGTAGAAGATTTCCGAAGATTTTTTATTTATTTGAGTCTTAGGAATTATTGTAAGGATGACAAAAATATCTTCTCTCCAAAATTATTTTTTAGGAGAGTGAAAATAAAAATTATATTTATTTTTGGAGTCAGTTGAAAAATACTTTTAACTGTTCAAAATAGTTTTATTGAGTCAGTTACAAAAGGTGTGTCAAACATTTATGAAATATTTATTTTGATATTATAAAATATTTTTGGTAAGCAAAAATATTTTATTCAAATATTTTTCGTGTACATTGTTTGACACACAAAATATTTTTGGGACTCACTTTTACTCCCTTATTCAAATTCATTGAATAAGAGAAGGAGCGTTCTCTGATTCCCGTTGTCTCAAACAACTAGTGTCACGACAATTCACTCCTCATCGCAACTGGCCTTGGGCCCTTTGTGTTGCGCCATTATTTCCTGAATAATCGATTTTCTGTCTTATTTTAATCGATTATTTTTTGTTGTCGCTGGTTTCCTCTAGGCGGGCCAATAATTGATTTTTGCTCCTCTGTTAATCAATTAAGGCTGGCAGCGCCACCTAATCGATTTTTCTATCCTTTTTAATCGATTATTTCCGCGCAGGAGGAATTATGTTCATACTGCATTAATCGATTATTGGCAGTTCATTAATCGATTATTATGCTGCATTTTTTCATCACAGCTTCTTTTCTTGGACCAACGGATATATTCCTTCAACCCCTTTATAAACTTCACTTCTTGGTCATTTTTTGAATGAACAAGCACTCCTAAAATCCCCCAATCTTGAGGTTATAATCCTCCATTCATTTCTTCCTCAAATTGGTATATTTTGAGAGAAAACTAAGTGTTTTCAAGAGAGTGTTCTTGTCATCCATAGAGCTTAATCTTTTCTCATTTCTACTCTTGTGAGAGTTATTGTTGTGAGACTGAAGAAGATTGTTCTTCTTGTTGTTCAAGACTTATGTGACTTAAGTCTTGGTTGTGAAGTCTTGTAGAGGGCATATCTACGAGCGGTTGTGTCGAGGCTTGTGGGATTCAAGTTCTCGAGTTGTAAACGGTTTGTTAAGCACCCGTAAGCTTAACGGAAATAGTGGTAACTTTGAGAGAGTCTCTCGGGGAACTGGACTAGCCACAAGGTGGTGAACCAGTATACATCGGTGTGTTCTTTGCCTTCTCTCTTTTATTTCCGCTGCACTTACGTTTATATTATTAATCCTGCGAAAATCGGTAAACATTCTCAACAACTCTATTCACCCCCCTCTAGAGTTGCACACCTTGTCTAACAAGTGGATGAAAATAGAAGGGAGAATAAAAAGCATAGTTGGAGGATGAACTCATGAACATCTGTTGAGAAGTGAATACTAATGGAGCACCCCTGCCCATAATACCTTCATGAAGTCATTGAATGCTCTTAAAAGTGAACTGGAAGAGCTTAGAAAATGTGTGAATGCCAATGGAAAATGAAGGGCATGGTTGCCTATGTGTAGGGAAACCCGAGTGAACTGTATTGTCCAAGATTTGCCACATGATGTCATTGGGCTTAGTTCACATTTAAGATAATGAAAAGACATAATTTCAGTTGCGTAACAAACATACTTGTGAATTCGTGCTTGTTAGAGTTGTAAGTTGTTGTGTCCGGAATTCAAAACTCGAGTAATTACCAAAGCTCATGAAACATTAGGCATGGTCGTGAATCATATGCACAACATAAATAAATTATCTTTCTAGATTGTAGAGTATTAGGTAGGATAACAACACTTCTCAGAACACTTATTTTGCCACTTTATTGTTTTCTAAGACCAGAAAACACATACATTGGGCCAAACACATACATCATCCCAATTATGTGTTTTGTCCAGGGTACCAAACATTCAGTCATGCCCAATGATCTACCCAAAAGAATCTGGTCATTGCCTTTGAGCTACCAAACAAAATTAGCTGGCTTGTCATCAATGGGATGAAAGACATGAATCTCGATTGTATAGGCGCTGGCTGTAAGTGCCCATTCTCCTGCTAAAGTCATACAAACTGTGCAACCATTTGGCTGATAGTGTCTATCTTGAACTATTGGTCATGTGTGCATCAATTGTCCCGTGGCGGAGGCTATGTGTGCCAAGTCACAATTGAATGTCATGGGTGCTTGTGTGCTGAATGCACTATAAGGTGTAAGCGCCTCTTCTAACACCAATTGGTTTTAGAAGAGTTGGTAGCGCCTGAGGTCCTACATGAACTGTTAATAACTTACCTATAAATGTTGAGTTCCTTCAGACTAAGGATCATTTTATAGGCTTCACATCGCTTTAGCTTTGTTACATTGCTCAACTCCTAACTTCCAAGTCAACTTTCTCCTTTGTGTATTTGTCAATCATATGTACAAGAGTTAATCTTTCTCATTTATTCTTGCTACCTTCATCTTCAGAACTAGATAATGTTTATGCTTTGTGTTTGGGCTTATAGACTCGTTGTATTGACACCAACCATCAAATTTCTTTTTTGATTGATCCGTCTCCCTTTTTCTTTTGAAGAAGCTTTGATTATGTAACCATTTATATACGCAATTTGATTCCATGTATTAAAAAAGCATTGAGAAGGGAAAAATATGGAGAAGAGAAACTCCCTTTGAGAATTCTTCGTTATCTTTTCTCCCTAATTTCTCCTTCCCAATGCTTGTTTATTATGAGTGCTTGAAATTGACTATGTTTAATAAAATCGGCTATACAATCAAAGTCTCTTAAAAAACAAAAGAATATAACATAACAATCCCACCAAAAGAAAAATTTGATCACGTATCTAGAAAGGAAAAGCAAACAACCTTTAGAAGGGAAGGGAAACAATATAAAATGGAAATGCAAAAAAAAAGAGAAGGAAATGATTCAGATAATTATAGAGCGCCAAAAAATTCTAAAATTATTAATTTGCCTCAACAATCCAATCCGGCTCATGAGCTGCATTTTTCTTGTACTAATTTTTGTGACTCATCAATTTCACATGAAAAAGATGCTAATACTGAACATACCATGCCAGTGACGTTTGTATAGAATTGAATTAAGCTTTAATTTTCCAAAGACTTTATATGATCATACCAAGCTTTCAAAATAATGGCTTCCTTATTCTAGTAAGGCGGAGTTGGGGTTTGCTTATGCCTGCAATGTAACTTTTGTCAGTAGCCATATGACCTTAGATGTTATTGTCTTACCTGCACTATTTTCTGGATGCGTGCTCTCTAAAGTAAAATCATTGCCTGAACAGGTCTCTTTTAGTCGTTTAGTACAAACAAAAATGGTGTTTCCTCTAAGCCCGACTTTATTTATTCACGGAGTATTTATTTATTTGGTGTGCTAAACTATAATGGGTTAGATAGTACTCTTTAGTTTTATGATCTCTTATTGGTGTTCATGGCAAAGGAAGCCCATGGTTGATTTCTGCTCTTGGCATTTTGATCTGTGCGTGTGAGGCGAACGCTTTAATTGGTTGTACTTTATGTGAAAAAAAACTGATTAAAGCTTCAACATACCAGCACCATACAAATTCATGCAAGTGAAAGCAACTTTTGCATGAAATATGAGAATAAATCTAGGTCATTCATCATTTATGAGTTATACTGAATGGATTAGATCATTTTGGGAAAAGGACTAAACTAGGCGTAAAAATGGAGAAAGTACCAAAATAGGAGTATAATCCCAATTTATAGTACCAAAAAATTCAGTTGGATGTCACTATACAACAACAACAACAACAACCCAGTTAAATCCCACAAGAGTAGGGTCTGGGGAGGGTGTGTGTACGCAGACCTTGCCCCTACTCGAAAGTAGAGAGGCTGTTTCCAAAGAGACCCCCGGCTCAACATCGAAAGTTGCAGTGTTTGACTAACTGCTACTTCATTAATTAAAGAAGCGCAGATAGTTTAGAGATCCATTTTGATTTATTCCATCACACCCCAAAGCCAAAAATGGTGAAATTTTGACTCCATCGGAGATGATGGAAAATTGGATGTCACTATACAATGTCAAAATGTCACAGTGCAAATTTGAAATTCCTATTTTGGGGATAAAAACATGGACCTTCTATTTTGAGGATAAATGCTACGCAATATGTTTTACTCCTATTTGGGGTGATCTCTTTCCCCGTGATTTGTTTCAATCTATGACTGTGATTCGTTCCCATTTTTTCAATGTGAAGGGGTACTTTTTTTAACTGATAAATGTGTGTGTGTGTGTCAGTGTGTGTTAGACAGTGAGTGTGATTATTATATGAACCTTATACACTGATATGTTATAGAATCCTATTCTTTTTCCCTACTTTCAGGATTCCTTGATACAACCTATAACAAGAATAGTGGTTGGGGTTGCTATTATTACCATATTCATTGTACTGGTGATGAAAGAGACTCCGGAGTGGGCCAAAAAGCTGAACTTTTCTGGCGGACGCATCCCCCCATGGATCCTTGCTTGCGCTGTGATTGTGTTCACGCGAATGAGGAAGAGAACCAAGAACTTCTTGGAACGGCGCCGCTAGGTGTTGTTTAAGTGGTTCAACACCTTTTGAACACTAGTATGGAAGAATCTTTTGAAATCTGCAAGCTCACCCTGTTTCATGTGTCCCATGATTCTTATGATCCTTTGATTTTTGATTTGTTTTTTAGTTGGGTGCAATGAGTTTTAGGCCTGTTCAGTAACAGGTAAAGCCAAAGTTTTCTATTTTGGCTTCTGTATATGCATGTTTGAGTTTTAAAAAACAGAACCTAGATGGTTTTTTTTTCACACCCACGTACACATGTGCCTTTATCCTCTCATACTCTGTATTATATGTTTTAGGATGTTTTTGTTATTTTTTTTTTAATTTAATATAATTAATATTGGTGTAAAAAAAAAGCTCTACTCTAACACAAAGGAGACACAATATTAGTCTCTACTACAAATACATTACTCAGGGCTTCTTGTAGGTTGAGTGTCTTTTTTTTGTAAACCTTCTCATGGAGTAGTAAATAACATTTCTTTTATTTATGCAAAAAAAAAAATGTTTTAATGGTGAAAAATACATACTCGGTATAAAATTGATGGTGAATTTATGAGCACAGGCATAATGCACATTTAAATGTGCTTGTAAATTTGCGGATTAAATTTTAGAGGCACTTTTAGAAGTTTTTTTGGAATGAATTTTGATCTCCGATTAGCGATACTAGAATGGTATGGAGTCAAGAAAAAGAGTGGGAAGGAGTCAAGAAAGAAATTTGAAAGAAATTTAGGAATTAATAGAAATATAAACAACCATGCTAGGAGTACACTAAGAAGTGATGCACTAGCATTTTAATAGTTTACACTAAAATAAAATGTCAGTTCAATCAAAACCATTTACGGTGATATTTTGTGTAATTGTAAACCATCACACTAACATTACACTAGCACAAATGTTGGTGCATGCTTTTGGGGTATAATTTTTAGGGTATACGTAATTCAATTCAAATATTAATTACGAGTACATTTTAAGGTTATTTGATTTTTTTGCAAAGGTGATTGAAAAATAGAAATTAAAAGTAAAAATCAACCTTTCATAAATGACTCATTTTTTTAAGAAATAAACGACTCATTCTAAAGACAAGAAACACATGTTAAGTTTTTTTTAGGACAAACTCATGTTAAGTTCCGCATTTAGCACTCGTATTTACCATGAAAAGCAATACGACGTCGTGTACTTGGTTCGTTCAAGCTGAAATAGTGAAATGAGAGCGAATGAACGATCCTTAGGTTAGAAAAAGGGCAAACGAAATCTCTCGTAGCCAGAGTGAGACACAAGAGAGGATCCGTATTAGCTCTCGGTTCCTTAGCAATGGCTTTCGCTTCTCGATTCCTGTCCAGATCTAGCCGTCAGGTTATGATTCTTCATCATCACTATCATCTTGTTCCGAAATCTGTGATTCATCTATAGATTCGACTGGTTTTATGTTTGAATTCTATCATTTCCGTGTTCGTCTTCTACGGAGTATTTTTTTAATCTTGTTCTTCAGGAGCTAATTTGATTTTTTATTTTATTGAATCACCATTTGTTTACCTGAGCTGGATCCGGTTTGGTTGATTGACTGGACCGTTTTTCCTAAAATTATTAATTGTGAGTTGGAATATGATATATTAATCTGTACAATGATATTTGTTTTGTGTGATTTGATATATGATTTTTGTGTTTGTTAAGTTGGGATAGTGATGGTTGAGAGGCCAAGAAACTTTGATTCGGGACTTCGATTGATGATTCTTTTTTTCGCTTGCAAGTGAAATGTCATACCAGATTAAACGGCCATACGAGACTCAAGCATTATATAACATGTTCTGGAATTCTTTTTTTATTTAGAAATCTAAAATCTTGGCAGTGATAGGCTCCTCTCTCATAATCAGCTCTCTATTTCTATTTTGTAACCTTAAATTGCTGCATAATTCAATGTGTCTAGAGCAGGGTATATCGGTAGATGTTAGGTTATATGTAGATGTTGGCATTTTATAGTCATATGTTGTTCATGTAATTGTGCTTATGTGGCACATAAAATGGGGTTTAATCAATGGTGAAGATGTTAACACTCATTTTTCATCCTAAGAAAGGAGAAATGACGGATTCCAAATTTATGTCTTGTATTGATGAGCCCTGTAAGAATTATAGAATACTTTGTGTCGTTAATACGCTTCCATGTGGTTGGTGCTATGCGGCAAGCCGGCAAGTTTGGAGGAAAATGTGATTCTCTTTCGAACAAAATTCATTGGCGGGCTCCTTATGCGTATATTCCTATTTTCTATGCATATCCTAAATGGTGGACACTTGACTAACATAGAAACATTTTTTGACTATCCCAATGCTCAGAATTATGAATGAAAAATATGACATTCATGTTTGTCTTATTAATGTTATTTCATTTTATCAGTATCCTTTGAAATGATGAATTTTTATCTACTTCTGCACTTTCTGCAGGTATATAGTGGTCAGATCATCTTGCGACCAGATGGTGCAATTCCAGTTCGTTCCTTTTCCAAAGGAGCTGGTGCCCCTGCTGCATTCAAGGGCGATGGTGAGTTGAACTCTGTAGTTCAGTAGTACGAGTACTTTCTTTTCCTAGTTGTGTCAGCTTGCTGTTATACAATAAGAAATACAAAGTATACTGAAGTGCTAGACCTTATAAAATAAGGTGGGTAACAATGTGGTTAATGTGTAAGGAGTCAAGTATGTCATAGTAATACATTTCCTATGTCAATTGTAGTAAATGTCAAGACTGTTCTTAGAAATATAGTATTGGCCTAAGGAACTACTTGTGCAATTCATTATCTTGTAAAATTGAAATTGGTGTTTTTTGTTTGGTTTTAGTACACATCCATGCACAATTTTACCATCTACTACTATTTTCTTTTCATTCTCTAGGTGGGGTGTTCTGTGTGCAAGCTTGTTCTCTTGCCCCAAAATAATTTTTTAAGTCTGCCACTGGAAGTGTAACTTACAAAGTATTCTTTTTTAACACGTTGCTTTTCTACTCCCCTGGAAATAAATCTATAATACTCCCTACGACTACCTCCTCAAATAAACTTCATCTTTACATTTCACAGGGTCAAATTATATCTTATTTTTTATTTTCTTTAATCATTTGTTACAATAAAATAATCATGACACCTCTTGTTGTATGCAACATTTTTTATGGAAAATTGCAATGTATGAATATTATTTTTTATTTTCACATCAGTACATAAATGGAATTTAAAATAGCCTTAGCCAAACATCGTAAACCAAAATGTAGAGTTTATTTATAGATAGATGGAGTAGTAATAATAATAATTTCAGAGGATTACTTCTTGAGACCACAAGATTGATGAAGTCACCTATTATTTATTTTCATTTCGAAACATCCTTTTCTACATGATTTTGATTGGAACCATTTAATCAACAACAAAAAAAACATTATAATCCCAATTTTGGTAAGGGATGGGAAGAAGATGTATACAACCTTACCATTGTGAAAAGAGAGAGGTTGTTTCTTTTTGACCCCTGATGCATTGCTACATCTACTTCCTAAGACTTCATAGAAAATAATAAGAAATGGAAGTTTACTGTGACATTTTGATTTAGCCCATTATTTGTCCAAAACTAACACGTTATCAAAAATGATTCTTTTAAATCCATTGACAATGGATGCAATTGTGGATCATTTAAATTTTGGCCAGAATTTGCCTCTAGTGAAATTATTATTTCTAAATATCATAATTTTCATGTTTTCATGTGTCCATCTGAAGAAATGTTGAAGAATGTTTTTCTTGATCTCAAGAAAAAATTTGAGACAGCAATTGGCATCCTCCGAACAGAGAAGATCACTATAGATCCTGAAGACCCTGCTGCTGTGGCTCAATATGCAAAAGTCATGAAGACTGTAAGGGAAAAGTATGACATTTGATATATTTATGACTCTTCTTTTCAATGACCTGTTTTTTTGTTTTATCTGGTTTTATTAATGGTGGGGTATTATTATTATTAATTGCTTGTATGTTGCTTGAGATTGGATCATAAGAAAATGCATGAGTGATGGTCTAGTTTTACTATATGATTAACAGTAATTATTTTCTAATTGGAAGCATATTGGATGAACACTTTGATAGCAAAGTTATCCTTAAAATTGCCAAATATGTTATTGAACAATTGAAGGACAATGTTCTCATTATGGATGAAAGTTGTCCTAAAATTATCCAGTATTCTTAAAATGGATGAACAATGTTCTTAACATGAGAATCTTTATCCAATTTAAGATCCTCACAGTAAAGTTATCCGTAAAGATGACCAAACTCCCCCTCTCCCCTTCATTATTTTTAATTGGAAAGTTTCCTTCCTAGTAGGGGCATTATGTTACTATTACATCAAGATTTCTCCGTGTAAGTTAAGTCACAAGTATGTTGTACAAGCTTCTATGATTTTTGAGTTATTATTGTGTTTGCTCTTGCTGAGCAATATGCTACTAATCCCTACATAGGTGATAATATGAGTTAGGCCACAAGTATATTGTACAAATCTCTTTGACAGCATTGTTGTGTGACTGCTTTTGCTGGTGAACATTATTTCTATGCTTCTTTTTGCTATATCTAACTGAAAATACCATTGTGCCTTAGAAGGTTATTGGCCTTTCTGGCGTTGGGAATGCCTTTGATGAAGTGTATTTGCTCTTGATATATTATTATTTCAATCTGGTTATGGCTGTTAATGGGAATTGGATTCTTTCAATACTCAGGGCGAATATCCTATCAGAATCTGAAAAGGTGAAAGAAGTTATTGATACACAAACAAAGGAGATTCCAGATGCCAGGACTTATTTGCTGACACTGAAGGAGATACGTATTAAGTATGTATATCAATTTGGCTCTAAAATTCTAAGGAGTAATGTATTTAACCACTTCGATGAATGATTATCCTTATTACTACCTCCATCCCAATAAATCTCTCTTTGGATATCAGCCTTATGTTTAAGGTAAGTGATTGGTTTATATGTGCAGCAAGTACGATACCTGATGCATATTTTGTGTTCAACTCTAATGTCTCATGTTATGTTGTACTCTGGAAACAGTTGTGAGCAAAATTGAATATGGGGGCATTACAGCTACTAAGAGTGAATCGATAGAGTGTGTGTGATTGGGATTTAGTGTGATTGCGCATAACTACGCTCTTTGACCTGTTTGGTTGGTCATATAATTACGAAGTCAGAACATAATTGATGCAGTTGAAGGAATGCAATTTCACATTAAAATTCTAAGCGGGGAGGCCAGAATTGATGTAGTTATATGTTTCAATTATCATACCTTTCAACTATGAATTCATTCATGTTTAATCCATTCTAAGGACATCATCAGTGCATCCTTCTCTTCCCCTCCCTCACAAACCCTTCAAAAAAGAAGACATGTTGAAATTCTTCTGCTGTTGATATCTTAATAATTCATCTTTGACATTTGTTCAATTGTTCTGTTTTTTTTTCTCCTGCATTCTGCATGGCCAATTACTAGTAGATCTTACATTTCTGTGTGGGCACTAAAAGAAAAATCTTGCTGGCAGGAGAGGCCTTCCTGATCTTCATGGCATCGAGGAAAAGATGATGATTGCATTGGATAAGGTAGAGAAAGAAATCAAGAAGCCACTAATGAGGAATGACAAAAAGGGGATAGCACTCCTTACTGCAGAGTTTGATAAGATCAACCAGAAGTGAGCTCTATTTCTAACAAGTCAATTTCCCCTGTTCCAAATTGCTAAATTCTGGTTGTCCAATTTGTGGAAATTAACTTGAAATGCCCTCATTCAAGGAGAATATTACACATTTGGCAATGTATAATGATTTTGCTTATCTTGTCTCGGTTGAAATGTGTTTCTCACTTGTTTGTTTTTGCTGCCATCATTTAGAATTGGCATTGCCAGACAAGATCTGCCCAAATATGAAGAAAAATTGGAACTTAGTGTTGCAAAAGCTCAACTAGAAGAACTGAAGAAGGAGGCCCATGAGGCAATGCTAACTCAGCTGAAGAAGTATTTACCAAAACCATAACGCTTTCATCTCAGATCCCCCTCCTCTTCTATTACAACTGTGATGCATTTCCATAATCTTACACATTACTCCCCATCTCATATTACCCACATTTTGCAGGGAGGAGAACTATGATGAGAACATGTCTAAAGAGTTAATGCCTAATGTGAAGTCGCTGGACATTAGAAACTTTCTCTGAAAAAGAGCATCAGGTGGAAGATTTCTCTTTGTGCATTTCATTCAAGTTAGCATAATGAGTTCCTAAGTGGTCTCCGCTACACTCCAAACAGTGCTTCCCTGGTGAAATGTTTCTTTTTAGCGCTGGAATTTTTAAAATAAATTTATTGGCCAAGTAATTGGATAATATTTGTGCAATAGTGCCACAAGAGAAATCAATGCAATGTGATTTCTTTTGAAGCTAGACAATGACAACAACGTTGCCATGTTGATATTTTTGATCCAAACAGTGTTCTTCCGATATTCTACCAAAAACAACTGTCTTTGCACCCTCGCCTTTTTTTTGTTGATCGGATGAGAACACAATGGTACTGAACTTGACTTGGCATCCAAGTCAAACCTCCTCTTATTCGGAACCCTAATTTGTGTTTTCTATTTTGTTATTTTCAGTGGAATTTTTCGGAAGTAGTCAGATCAAGTTAGATGTACTAGGGCCTTAAGAGTTAATTGTTTTTTCACTTTTTGAGTTTGCTGTGTTTGAGTTGGGATTTTTTTTTTTTTTTTGGAGATGAGCTTTCTATCGCTACTGGGTAGGGATAAGATCAGGGTGCATTTGAGCATTCACCCTCCTCGGACCCCACATATGGGATTTTAAACATCTGCTTTGGGAAATAGTCTTCCATTTTATGTTGGGTAAGGTTTGCTTATACCCCCCCCACATACACACACACACACATTGAATCTCACTTATGGGACTTCAATCACCTCATTGGGTTGCTGGTGTTGGAGTGAAAAGGTATTTATAGGAAACTCTTCTGTAGTCAAATTAAGGATTTTAGTGTGTTGATATCGTGAAAAAATTGGATCTTTTGCAAAAAAAAAAAAGATCCACTAACCAATTTATATTTTAAATGTGGATCGTAGAACTACAGAAGAATAACTCGTGTTTATAATGTTTACTATGGAGGACGAGGTACTATTTATTCTTATTCCTTTTTTTGTTTACAATTCATTACTTTTCTTTTTTCTTTACTCATCAATATTTCTCTAAAAAATAAATCAAGGCATGTCTTTCACATTTTAACACTTTTTAATTGGATAAAGGCAACGTGTCAATTTATTTAGGCTTCATTTGGTATATGAATTCAAGCCATAGATTTAGAAATAGAGATTTCAATTTCAATTTTGTTGTGTATAACACAAAAAATATATGGATTTAGAATTGGTAGCATAAAATATGAAATGGAATTGGAGAATTTAATTTTATTCAATTCAATTCCATAGAATTTCAGTTCTAATTTAATTTGTGTCCAGCGGTCATTAAAAGTTGGATTATGACCTCAACGCAACCTGCATAGGTTGTTACACGTTTGTCTTCCAGTTTCGATTATTAGACAATGATCAATGAAATATCAATGCACAAAAAAGAGTAGAAAAAATTAATTTCAATTTGGATTATGGCCCCGGTGCAACGTGCGTAAGTTGTTACACGTTTGTCTTCCGGTTTCGATTATTCGACAATGATCAATGAAATATCAATGCACAAAAAAGAATGTAGAACGAATTAATTTAAATTTTATATACCAAACGGATCCTTAGAGAAGGAACGTGGGATTGTGAGGTTTTCAAAGGGAACACCATGATCAATTGATCATGAAGTAAGTTTGACGGGGTGTCCCTTCATTGCAATAGGACACGAAAGTTGTATAAATGAAATTGAATGTCCAAATATACACTACATCCATGAGTTAGTAAGCATATGAGTTTTATAGACTTTTAAACGTAATTTAAAATTTTTAAGCTGCATTTTTTTAACTTCTTTACCAGTTTTTAAATAAAATGAATTTTGAGTGAAGTTTTGCCTTGTATTTTCCTCCTTGGAGCAATCTATTTTGGGAGGAAGGAAATATTTATTGAGCAATTCATTTTCATTTAGTGAAGATACGTATCATGTCCACCAGCTATTATTCATTTCATTCTAACTAATGCATCAATGAATTGATGTTTCGATTGGCCGTGCAAAAGAAAAAAGAATCCATCTATCATTTCAAATCTCCAGAGTATCATAAGATAGAAATTAATTTATGCGGAGTTAGATTGATTTTAATACATTTTTAACAAGATTTTATAAAATTCTCTCTGATTGTTTATTATCCATGGATTTCTCTGTTTTATATTTCTTCCTTCTTTATTCCTTTCTTTCTAGGTATCTTCGCCCAGCTCCCAATGGCAACCACTACGTACTCCAACAGCTACTACTTTCACTGCTTGACAGCCCAAACCCGGAGAGGAAACAATGTGGAGTGTGGTGGAGGAGGCTTAAAATGATGGAATGGAGAGATGAAATGGAGATATGAAATAGAGAAGATAATGAAAATATTGCTTAAAGTAGATTTATGGTTGAAAGTTACTCCATTAGATCTGCGCATTTCACAGTGGTAGCCACAGCGGAGAGAGCCCAAGGGATAGCCAAATCTGTTAAAATCCTTGGATGTTGTGAAATAATTTTTCTTTAGAAAAAAATCCATCAAAATCCACATATAATACAAATCTTTCAAAATCTATACATCGTTTAATACCGTTAGATTTTGACAGACATTTTGAAATCTAAATTGAATACCCTCAGATTTTAAATGACTGTTTAAAATCCTAATTGAATATCCACAGACTTTTAAAATCCAAAAAAATCCTACAAACTTCCTTGATTGAATACACCCCCCTTAGACAACTCCAAACTCTCAAAGACTACTACCATGGGTAGATTTTCATCTAGACATTTTCATTAAGGACCTAAGCAGTATTCAATACCATGGGTAGATTTGGAAGGATTTTTCTTGTTGAACTGCCTGTGTCAAGGAGAAGAGAATTTGATTAACTTCACAACTAATGTTGTGTATAAGGTGTTATAGAACAAGGAATTATATGTATCATTTACTAAATTTAAGCATAATCCTAGAGGCATTTAGTTTGTCATTCGTCTGTCTAGATAAAAAAATCTTACAATAGGCCTACATGGAGGGTGCATCACGACCTAGGCTCACTTTCATTTGCCTCATAGGTGGCCATTTGTATAGTAATACTAGGGAGTATGCACTATGCAGAGATCGCCAAGATGCTTAGCTTAGAATAAACTTGGGTGAGCGAAAGATAAACTTGTTATGGAGGTGGTAGTGTGGGATTGCAAAGTTGCAATGTTGCGTCAGCTTGTTTGCAAGGTAGCAAGGCTGTTGGTTTTATCTGAGAGGTTCTCACTAAGAGGCAACCTCAAGGTTCAACTTATGGTGAAAAGCGACTGGTGGCATCTAACACGCACAAGTATTTTGCTATGGTAGGTTTTACTGATGCGATTATAACTAGTTATATTTATAAAAGGAAAGGATTGTCACGTTCAATACCTCAATATGGATCGCCAGTTTCTACCTGCGAAAATTTAGCAACTCATACTACACTCTCTCAAGTTATAAATGGAGAACCAAAACATTAACCAATTGCCACACACTCAAAAATCTTAAAATTTGGATGATACCTTCATCCACCTTCTGACTTGTGATCATCGAGCTGGTTTTCGAATCCAACTGTCCTCCCAATTATCATTTATCACTAGCTCCGGCAAGCCTTCTCCAGGCAGGACAGCTCTGTGTTACTTTATTAAGCCACATTCTTTTCCCGACTGGGGCCCATAAAAAGCTCAGCCCTCCTAGTAACAGTCATCTTAATCCGTGGTCAAGTACTCACTCCACTTCGATATGATCTCGCCCTTTGCTGTTCCTGTTGTGAGAAGACTCCCCTTGCTAGGCTCTCCGTTTACGTAGAACTCGTTTGATTTGGAAAACTGCGCGCTATTAGACCAAGATGATGGAGCACCTTGAGATACTGCTGTGCCATCTTCCCTTTCAGGAGCCCTCTTTGCCATTAGCCCAACATCTGCAGACTTAACATTGATCAGCTTTTGCTCCGTACCAAATACTCCCTCTGTCCAAGAAAAATAATCATGTTATAAGACTTAATTCTGTATCAAAAGTTGAGTCGTGTATGAACAAAAAAAACTAGTTTTCATCATATCTTAAACGTTTTCTATTAAAGAAAATACATGTCCTAAAGAAGTTGAGCATGTTAAATTTAGTTTTAACACAAAAAAAATTGAATATATAATTCTATTGATAGTTTTCAATAGTTGTACATTAATAAAATTTAAGAGTTGTACCTTTGTGAAACAAGACTATGTTTATGAGATGGCGTGACTATAACAAATCTCAAGCTTTTCAGGCAAATATAAATTTCCATGTTTTAGCAAGTGCTGACTACCTTTATCCTGGGATGAGCTTTGCTTTCCTGCATTTCTCTTTGTAAAAACTGGCCAAAAACGGTTCTGGGAGTCAGATTCAGAACCTGCCATGTTACTGCTGAGCTTCGGCCTTTTGAACACTGCCTTGGGAAGCTCTGTGACAATCATAGTATCCATTCCATCCTCTGTGCACCCAAACCAAAAACAGCGAAGCACATTCTTAGACTCTTCTAAATCACACTCATGAAGCATAGCTTAGCTCATAGTCAATCCAACCATTTAACGCCCAAATCACACGCAAAGCCTATTCTTTGTCAAAGTCATACATATATAAAGAACTTGCTTTGACTGGATCAATTGGCCTAAAGCTTAAGACTCCGTGGAAGAGTTCTCAAGGTTCAATCTTCATTTCTCACAATTGCATTAGAAAAGAACCAATATTGTTCTAATTGGTGCGAACAACAAAGCATATATATGGAGTACAAATCATAGCAAACATTATTAATTCTTCAATCTGCTCCCTATAAAATAAGCACTAAACTTTTGTTTCTATATTATGGTATATTCATAGCGGTCGATGGTTATAAATCAAATCAACCTTAGGTTCACAAATGCGTACTAGAAACCCGTGGTATTATTATAAGTAAACCTATGTAATAATCACCTGAAGCACACACAAAGCCCTTTTAATAGAATTTCCATTGAATGGATCAATTTCCCTAAAGCTTATGACTCCATATAAGAGCTTCAAGGTTCAATCTTCTGTTTTCTCAATTGTATTATAAAAGAATCACCAGTCATAGCTTGTGTGAATGAAAAAAACAGCTTATGACATATGCATGGATTAAAATTCACAGTAGCGGTTATGTTTATATTTCATCTTAAGGAAATCAATATGTAGTTCAAATAATTTCTCTTGCTTCTTACTCCGAAATAAATTTCAATTGCACTGTTTTCCTTTCTTAGACTTCTCGGCCCATCAAATCAGACACTTAATATTGTCATATATTCCTGAATGTAAATCAAATTAAACTCACGAAGTTCATTAATTTGACTGGACACCGATAATAAACACTACGAATAAACAAAGGATCGGAATGACCTGTTGATTGTTCGTCTTCTTGTTCAACTGATCCATCCTCGAAATCCAGGTACTCCGTCCAATCCGTTCTCTTTTTGCTGTTGTTGTTGTTTCCGTTTCCCTGGAACTGGCCTTCCGAAATTAGGGTTTGCGGCTCTTCCTGTGGATGAAGATCGATCTGTTGATCGGCGAGCTGGCGGGACATGTTGAAGCTCTGGACGAATTCCCGAACGTCCCTGGCCATGAAACCCTGGGCGAACACATTGCGCACAGACTGCTTCTGGTTGCACACCACGCAGATCCACTTATTGCTGCTCTTCTTCCTCTGCTTCACCTGAGATTCATCATTCATCCGATTCTTCAATCGTTAATGGCGAGAATACATACATATACAAAAATGGCGAGATTGAGGACTGGGGGAGAAGTAGTAGTAAGTACCTGCATGGTGAAGCATTGGCAGCACTGAAGAGCAATGAAGACCGTTTGCATTTGTGAGATTCGAGTATTCAAGAGAGACTAAAAAATAAAAATAGTCCGTTTGGCGGGAAGAAGATTTATGGAAATGGGGAAGAGATATTTACCTAAAATAGGACTAAAACATAATAACTTTTCTAATATAGGACCATATGTTTTTATTTTCCAATGTAGGACCTTTGGTCATTATCAAGTAGTCATTATTCAACTAAATGTCCATCATTACTGGACATTATTCCTTCCACTAGGTAATATTAAGTCCTATTTAGGGAATAAAAAAATTTAAGTCCTACATTAAGAAAGTCATTATGTTTGCAAATAGATTTATAGAACACGCCATTGACCCCGCAGCGAATTTACGGAAGAGAGTAGAAACTCGTGAAGGTCGTGGGTCCATTAGCCCGAAATGACGGCAAGACCTTCTAACAACAAAATCCTTAAAAAATTTAATGAAAATGTTAAAATTAATGATTCATTGTTAACACATACTAGACTCGTACCAGTTCGTAGCACAGATTAATATTACTCAAAAAATTGAAATACCCCGAGTAACATACTAAAATAACAAAGTAAAAATAAAAAATGCAAATATAAAAATGCTAATCCATTGGTATATATATCAATGATCAATGAAAAATATATTACTAATATTTTGGAAATATAAATTACATGAGTCATCAATAGACAAATTTATAAGTTTAAAAAGCTTCATTGTAAACTACATTTGGCATTTGGTTGGACATTAGAAGATCTTAATTGCAAATCAAAATCTATAAGTCATTGTGATATGTTACACGTGAAACAACAACATATATTTATTCATGACTAAGTACATGTATACTGAGCAGGGCCGGTCCTGAGAATTCATATGTCTGGACCAAAATAGAAAAAAGACCTTAAAAATCTTATCCCTAATGATCTAACAAATTAACATATGTAAACTAATTATATTTAAATGATAATTAATGCAATATTATTAGAAAAAAATGACAAAAGTATAGTATTATAATTACATGCCGTAAAAGCTAGCCGAGGATTCGAGAAGTTCTCCTTGCATTCTTGAGAGCAAATTGGTTGATCACATCTTTGCAGTCTATACTCTCTAAGATTTCATTCTCGATAGCTATTACCGCCAATCCGCTAACTCTTTCTTGGGACATTGTAGACCGTAAGTAAGATTTCAGAAGCTTCAATTTGGAAAAACTTCTCTCTGCAGATGCCACCGTTACTAGAACAGTCAACAAAATTTTATATGCAATGCAGACATTCTGGTAATAACCAAGTTCTCTTAAATGCTTCAAAACATCTATGAGATTGCTAAATTCACTAGTTTGTAATGTGTTAAATAATTTCAACTCCATGTAAAGCTCTTCAGCATCAATATCCGATCTTTCTTCAAACTTGAGTGCATTTTCGAGTTGATGACAACATAACTTAAGCTCTTTTTCTTCAATTCCACTCAACTTATGTGGAAACAAAAATCCAAATAATCTCTTATAGTCTTTGAATTTTTCAAATCTCATCTCAAGAGAAGATATGACTTTATCCACAACATAAGAGAAGAAATTAACCCTGATATTCTCTCCAGTTGTAAATGAAACTTCTTCGCTACTTGAACTGTCATCAACTCTTTTTTTTCCTTCGAATCAAACGTTTTTCTGGAAATATCGGAGGTATATCCATTTCAGTAGCTATGTCCTTTGCTTCATGATTTGCTTTTGAATAATCAGTTTCTGATCTCTATAATCCTTGAGGTAGTCAATCAATCCATTTATCTCTTTAATAACAATATCAAGATGCATATCCTTTGATTGTAACTTCTTGCTCACTATATTTACTTGCTTTAATAGTTGATACCAAATAACAATTGATACCAAAAAATCAAATTCACTAAGATTTTTTGCTAGTGACTTTGTTGTATGAACAATTGTATTATCACTATCTTTTTCTTCAACTTCAAGTAGAGTTTCTCGTACATCGGCAAGTTGCTTCTCCGTCGTGAGTCAGTGTTGCGGTCATTGTCTATTGCTACAGTCGCCGTTCATTTGGGCTGGGGCAAAATTGATGGGAGGAGTCGTCGCTGCCTTATACCCCGTTGGAGAAGGAGAATCATTGCGCAAGGTCATCCTGGCCTCGTCGTTATTCCCACTGGAGCCTTCGTTTTCGATTGCTGGAGAAAGAGATCGTGAGGAGCATCATCGATTATCGGTCTTTTCTCGGCCACTATGTCCACCAGTCGAAGAAGAAGAAGAACCAAAATAGAGGAGTCGCGTATCTGAGCAAGAACACACTTTTCGGGCCAACTTTCTTCGAATTGAGATCCGTTTGTGTCGTTAAGTTTGGTCCTTCTGCCTTTACCCAACGGTATAACTTTTATAATCAATCAACAAGTATGACCCGTCTTTATTCTTTCGATTAATTAATATTATTCAATTGTTTAATCTAAATCTTTTTTATTAAAATCAGATTAGTCACGTTATATTGGGACGATTGGAGACTTTTAGTTCTTTAAAATTACAAATTGTTATAATCAGATAATTCTTATTTATTTAATTAGCAATTTATTTCTTGACTGGTTTTCAGGGCGTTACAATATTTCTTATTTCAATTTTAATGAAATGTTCAATTATTTTATTATATTTATGCTTTTCGATTTACTATTTAAATTTAAATAATATAAAAAGTTGAAAGGGAAAAGGAGAAGGCATTTCCTTGGGAGTGGGAGAGAATGAAAAAAAAAAGCCAAAACTGACATGACACTAAGTTGGCGAAGGGAAAAAGGGGAGAAGGGATAGGCACACCTCAAGGCCTAAATGAAAATTAATTAACCACAAAGATTCTAAATCACTCTGTATATTTAGTACGGACGTAGAGAGAGACAATATGATGGAGTATTACGAGAGTGTTTGGTAGTGATTAACTTGTAGATAATTAATTTCTTCAAAAGCTGAAAGTAAAAACAACTCATAACTATTTATCTAAAACAGTATTCTACGTACAAAATAGTGGTGGAAAAAAACAGAAAATGATATATCAAACAAAGTAAAACTACTACTCAAAGCAAAAACTAATTCTTAAAAACACCACGAGACCCCCTCTACCATTTTATTGGGAGAGAGTGAGTATATATGATGGGCCAACCAAATGGGTAGAGATCTCATCTCACTATATGCAAAATTTTGGTTTTGTGGGCCACTGGTTAGGAGACACTTGTCGATTTGAAGAAAATATCTAATGCCACCTATGCATCTCTCGGAGCCAGAAATCACAGCTAAAGATCTTCTTCTTCTTCTCCTCCTCTCTCTCCCCCACCCAAAGGTTTCGGAGAATTTTCCACGAAAAGATCTTGCATTCGTAGTTATTGCAGCTCACAAAAAGTTCTTGTTTTTCTTTTGGGGCTTAAGTTAGAAATCATAGCCAAATATTTTTTCTTGATGAGTTAGCCATATCTAGAATCAGGTACTCTTCTTCGCCCGCTTCAAATCTCTGTTCCATTTTCTGCGATTTTGAACACATATTTATTCTGGAATCGTTAAGATTTGGAGTTTTTTTTTGCTTTATGAGAAAAAGTGAGAATGAATAAGGGAAAGATTAAAGATTCAATCGAACTTTCCAGTGATTAAAATTGTTTAGCAGCATATTTGATTCGAGGTGCTGTGTGACCTTAGGTCCAAAAGTACTCTTCTTTGTATGTTCTACTTCTCATCAAATTATTTAATCTTTTATGAATTAAAATATGTTTCATTATTACTCCATCCGTCCCAGAACGATATACCACTTTACTATTTGATAAAATAAAATATTCTATCCCCTCTTGTTTTTTTAGAAATTTTTGATTTGGTTTTAATAAATATTTTTTGTTTTTTAATTTGAATACCAATTCGTGAATAATATTGTTTTAAAAGTCATGAGATTTTGCACTTTTGTCGAAAGGGTAATTCATTTGGGACGGAGGGAGTATTACATTCATTATGGTTATCATATTAAATATGTAGTATTAGTCTAATATTAAATTAAGGAGCTTAAACACTTCATTTCCTAACTATTCTACCAATATATATTTTTCACCATTATAAAATATGCTGTCACAATTCATTTTTTGTAACTTCGTAAGAAAATTACGGAGTACATCATTTTATAACTAATCTTTCAATTTTAATATCAATTTATATTTCACAATTATTGTCTCATATTTATGTCATTTTAAAATTTATGGTTCAACTTTGTAGCATTTTAAAAACAAACATTTCTTCTTTTTTTTTTTAAAAAAAAGATATGATTCTCATGTCAGCCTATGTGTTTTCCTGTTTGTTTTTAGCGGCATTATTGTTTCTTTAAAAAAAACATTGGGTAGAACCGTAGAACACTTCAGTGTTATTACGTATATTTCAGTGTCCACAATGGTTGTTCTTTCTTTCCCATGAAATTCAACCACAGAATTACATCTTGCTTAAACTCTGTGTAAGGTCAAAGTGGGAACATTAAAAAGGGACGGAGGGAGTCTTATGTTTTGACCCATGATTTGTAGACTGAAGTTCATCTTCGAGGCTTTATTTGTCTCCCTGCTTTTCTCACAATAAATTTCTTTCCTGGTCAATAGGTTTATGGCTGTTTTATGTGAAAGGTGGATTGATGGTCTTCAGTTCTCCTCATTGTTTTGGCATCCTCCAATAGATGTACAACAACGGAAGGTATGATACTCCATACTTACTTTAAAATGCCTATGCTCAGATATGTATAGTTGCACAAACTATTGTTGCTTATATTTCTTGTTTTTGTTGTTTTGGTTATTAAATTTTTTGTGCTTGTGCACGAAACACCTGCTGATGAAGTGCTGAGTGGGTCTGTGATGCATGAATGATATCATTACTCAAATTTCAAGAGGAGATATTCATAATTTATGTACTAGTAGAGTGAAACCTTTCACAATTATCATTGTATTTTTGAGTTCATTATCATGGCTATGCTCTAAGCTCATTTTGCGTATCTACTCCATGTTTTTAAATTTCGAGCAAAGAAGTTAGGGCTTTTCCTCAGCATTTCTATTTAAGTGATTATGCTAAGAAATAGAGGTCGTGTTCAAGGTTTAGCAAGTTGGAGAAGTCCAGAGTTCATTTAGATTACAAAGGTATGAGAGTTCCCTTGGCAAATTTCTTATTCAATGAGAATACCTATAAAATCCAAGGCCATAGGAACATGCCATATCGTATATAGTTCTATGTGGTACTGTCTACTAGTAGAAGAGAGTTGACTTCTTCTATTACTGTCTTCAAGAAACTAAGAAATCCTGGCATGCTCTTAACTGGTTCCTCTGTATTAACTGTGGCAAAGACTAGGAGATAACACTATTGAATGTCATTACAGTTGAGACTTGAGACACTTGGCATTTGTTCAATCTTCAATGCATGTTTTGCATCCCTTCCAGATGAGATAAAGATTTAGACTTAAAACTTGCCATGAAATTTTACACAGAAGGGTTTTAGCTATTTCCCACTCAGTTGGCTTTGTTGTGGAGATGCAGTATGCCTTTGTGGTTAAGTGGCCTTCACTGAAGTGAGAATAGGACTTGATATAGTGGTTAATATAAATAAGCTAAATCATCCCACAAATATCGGAGGGCCCTGATTATGCCATTCTGATAGAAGGGAGTCACCAAGAGAGTAAGACACACTGAATGCAATTCCTGTTGACGACAACTGTTGTGAGTCAGTGCATTTGGCAGAGAGTATTGGCCAGACATGCCCATAAGACACCATAATATTTATGTTAATTTATGTTACGTATCTATTTAATTCTAGCTTAGACTCCTAAGTGTTAAACTATCAGTAATCTTATTCTGGCCATATGAATCGTTTACTTTATTACATCTATATGCATTGTTGAGTTTCTTAAAACTGTGAATTTTCATTCCTCATTTTATTGAATGCCATTATTAAAACAGCCTCCCTACTTTTCAGTTAGGGTAGAGTCTGCGTAGACACACTCTCCCAAACCCTACTCTTGTGGGATTCAACTGAGTTGTTGTATTTTATTGAATTGTATGCATATAAGTCTGAAACACTTCATCATTTCTGTTTCCAGGATCAAATTGCTGCATATGTTGATTATTTTGGCCAGTTTACGTCAGAACAGTTTCCTGAAGATATAGCTGAGGTACCTGGTCCATGCATTGGCCACTTGAGATGTTTTTTGCAAAATCCTTTGTTGGTATTTTCAATCAGTGTTAGTAACTGGAAGTTTATTTACTTTTGACAGCTGATCAGAAACCGTTACCCATCTGACGAAAACCGCCTCTTTGATGATGTTTTGGGTATTAGTGATGTTCTCCTACTTCTAAATTATACTCCGTATATTATAATATTCCTTCAGCCGCATACAACGGCTTATCCTTTTCAACACAATTTTGTCTGATAAAAAGAGTCAAATTTGAAAAAAAGATGTTAATTTCCATCATATAAAATGTTTTTATTGAAAGTTATGCCAATGAGGTTGAATTTTGTAAATTTAGGTATACTAACAAATAAATTTGAGAGCATAACTATATTTGCGGATTTCTCGTGCTTTACCAAATTTGAGAAGTTGTACTTGTTAGAACACATTCCTAACTAGAGAGGGAGGGAGGGGGTTGAATAGAGTTGTTAGAA